GTTTACATGTTCTATTTAAATAAGAAGGCTTTGTTCCTTTGAGGTTTGTATTTTAGATCAAGTTGGAAGTTTTCAGATCTCCATTAAATGTATTCTGAACATCAGCTCCAATATTTCTGATTTTATTATGCACGTGACTAGAATGATGAAAGGGGTAAGAGTCAATTCAACAAGTACTTATTGAATATCTTTTATGTTCGTGGTGCAAGTCGATGCTAGAAAGAAGAAAAAAATTAAATACAGTTCTTGCTTTTAAGTGAAACAGATTCCTAAGTTAAAACAGGACAGAGTATTAAAATGGGGTCAGGGTTTTTTGATTTATATGTGTTGTCCTGGATATGAGGAGCGATAGTATTTTTCTTATGTTATCTTTTGGGAAGTTTTTTTGAATACAACAATGTAAAATAAAATAGGCTGATCTATGTTTGACAGTCAATGTTACAGCCACTTTTTTCTTTTGGTTAGGTAAAGTTTATCAGAGATGCCTTAAATTCTAGTAGAATTGTAGAGACAAACAACATCATACACTTGTCAAGGTCAGTTTTTTAGAATAATGAACATGTTACTATAGAAAAAAATTACAAATGTAAAAGTTCAGTTTTCACGTCAGTCCATTGAGGACTTTAGGGGAAGAGAAAGGAAAACAGTAAACTCTTCCTCAAGCCCCTGTTATGTGGTGATGGAAATTAGATGAGTCAGCCTAAAGGAGCAATATCAATTAACTTCAATTACTATGTAAGTTATAGAGCTTTTTTGTAGGGGATTTGTAGATATAAGAGCTGGTTATAAGCATGTATAGGAAAATGTATTATTATACAAATATTATGTACTCATAATAATGTAAAATTAAAAAAAATTTGAAAAAAGAAAATGCATTACACCTTCCAGATAGTTGGCTTACAATAATCTATTATGGTATTTCTTTTCTGTGACATTAAAACACTGTTACATCTGCTACATGCAGCCTGAACTATGTTTGTTTTGTTTTAGCTGTAATGTTTATCTTAAATCTTTTACTGTATTTTCTATACTCTGCAATTCTTAATTGCGAGAGCTTATACTAAGGCTTTCTTCACCCGAAACATACCTTCTCCTTCCTTTCAGACCTGTGTGTACTTCCCTGACACCCTCATCCACTCAGGTGGAATCATTTCCACTTCTGGGCTCATACTATACCTTGCATAAAATTCTGTTACATGGTTTCCTTTTGACTACATCTCATTATCTTTCTTAAATTTGGTGTGTTGATAGTATTGCCATTAATTCATTCACACATCCATCCATGCATTCATTCAACTATTATATGAACATTTCTCAAGCTTTTACTTTTGTCAAATACCATGCAGGCTTTGGAGAGGTAAGACATAGTTTTTGCCTTCAAGCAGTGTGATAAGCATCATGTTAAAGGTGTAAGGGAAACACGCAGGAAAGGTATCTGTGGAAAAGATGAAGGAAGGCATTTTGAAAAGGAAATGTTAAAGTTCTTTGCTCCCTAAGGCTTTATAGAAGCCTCATTGGAGTTCCTATAATTTCTCCATACTCAGAGGTACTATTTTCCCAAATAAAATGTGGTGGTTCAGAGTAGTCTTTGGAATCATATATATTTGGGTTTGAATCCTTGTCTTCTTACCTCTTACTAGTTATGTAACCTTGTCCAAGTTACTCAACCTCACACAAGTATCCTCACCTATAAAATGGAGATATTATATACATTATATGGTTTTCTTGAGTATTAATAAAATCATTGGCACAGGACCCAGCATATCGTACATGCTTGTTTTTATTGTCATTGATTATATTATTATTATTATT